TATCTAAAAACACTGTCGTCCGCATTTCTGGAGAGAAAAAAAGAATCGATAACCGTGAGATATCGGAATTTTCATCACCAAGAAAAACCATTAAAAAATCAAAAACAGTTAATGATATAGATGAAGCTGCACAAGAATCAAATTTTATTTTTTTATTATTAGATAGCTATTTTTGTTTGAGTTGTGTTCATTTACAGGCTCAATTTTTTTCCGTTTCTCCTTTTTGATTTTATATGGGGTTTCAAGTTGTTTTTGACTTATTTCGACGTAAATCACAACACACTTTTTTAATAAAGCAAAGAAGTGTTAAGAGGTATATGTACGTGTAAACTACAATTACAAAAAATTGATATGAAACCCATGAAACCACCAACAAAAATGTAAAGCTAGCTTTCGTACTAGAACATGGTGTCATTCGTCGATATAATTTATCGGTGTGTTTATTAGATAAAGAAATGTAAATTTTCCCCTGTTATTTTTTTATAAAATTATAAGAGAAATACATTTTTTTCTAAATAGTATAGTTTATTATTTTGTAGAAAAACAAAATTTCGAAAATTTTAGTAATGTTTCAGAAACAACCGTTATTAATAATAGGTACCATTTTCCTTAATAAGGTAGAAATAAAATATAAACTATTTCCACGATTTTCAAAGGCCTACAAAAAAATTATAGGTATTTTCCGCTATCCTATAAAATTTATATTTTCTGACTCAATTTCGAAAGGTTGAAGGAATTCCAAAACACCTTTTATGGCATAATAATTATTTTCAATTCTACATACTATCTTTAGCTGCTTTTAAAAATGTTCTAAGAAAGTCCAATCAGACTAATTTAATCCCTAAACTATTCCACACTTTTAAAATTTAATTACCTAAAAATATTAAAAACTATTTAAAATAACTTGTTTAGCAGACTGTACAATAGCTATCTTAGTCACACGTAGCGCGTTCTCTGTCTTGGCGTCGAACACCTCTAGAAATTTGATGAACTGTAATATACGGACCAAAAGAAAAATTACCTTTATTTTTGTAATAATAACAGTAATACTGGAAATAGTAGACATCAGAAACTTAAAAGATTTTAAATAAATAATAACTTATCATTTTACGATGTTCTTCAACATCTCTTTATTCTTAAAGTCACCAAGGACTAGATTTCAAAGTTGATTATTGTATGTGGCTGGAATGCAATTTTGTAATTTTTTACTAATAGGAGACCAGTTTTAATCATTTATTCTGTTTTCTTTCGAACAAAATTTAAAGTATAAATAACAGTCGTTCTGTTTATACATTTTAGCTTCACGCTATTATTTAATGGTATTTGTTTATTTTGATAGAATAGGTTAATTCTTCAAAGACTTCTTATTAGACTAGGCAACTTCTCGTACATTTTCCCGTTAATACTGTTGCCTACCTCTATTTTATGTTTGCTTTTTATTGATTAAACTTATTTTTTTTTTATTTAAGCGATAAAAATATATAATAATAAAAAATTAATGTTTTACTTGTTTTACAAATCCATATAATTTTATTAAAACTAACATATATACTTTTTAATTACAAATTCTATTAAAAATTGTATGGTAAATATACGCAAATATACTCCAATAGTACCTAAATAAATTGGCGCTGCTGTCGTGTACGTAGCGAATATGATGACACTTCATTGGGTTTTTGGGTTAGGAATTAACATAAATTCCGCCATTTTCCACGTATCTGGTATACATTTAAGGCGATATGCTGCATTTTTGAGATATGTCAATTTAACGATAGCCTTCCTCTGCAGTTTCTTTAACATTTCTCCAGTAATAAGGTCATATCCTGGGGCCTTCTGAGGGCCGATGCTTGTTTAAATTTCTTTTCCAATTTAATTGGGAGCAACTAGCCAAATTGCAAGTTGTTTCATATTTTGGATCATCTCGGTCTTGATTTTCTTCTAATTGGAACGTCTTTTGTAGATGGTCTCCGAAAATATCAGCTTTCTGTTGATTGTCTCTTACCCATTTGTTATCTCCTATTCTAATTACACGAGTGGTTATCATTTTAGTTGCCTTTCAGAGCAAATAATCAGTTTCTTTGTCATCTGTAAACCCTACTAGGTTTCTATTAAAGGATTTTTTTTTGTGATTTAGAATTTCTCTTCTCAGTCTTTGGGTTGCCCTTTTTAAGACATTTTGATCTTCTAATGAGTTTTCGTTCTTAGTGCTATGGTCAGTTGAGTAGTACTTGTTAAGTCCTCTGGAAAACCTTCCCAATAGTTTTCCGATTTGCTAAGGTCGGCTTTTTCTTCTTTTTGCATAACATTGTCACTTAGAGTAAGGATTACTGTAGAATGATCTAAATCCATATTAAAGTTTTCTTCTATTTTCTTCGACTTGTGTATAGTTTGGTGAAATTTTTCTCATAATAAAGAAATTTAAAATATCTGCAATCTTATTTTTTCCAGAAGTTTGATAGGTACATACGAGTTCTACTGTACCTCGGTGCAATTGTCTTTCTTTGACTGTAGGTAATTTTGAACCCCAGATGTTATTTTTGTAGTTGTAATCTCTATCGATTTTTATTAGCTAATTCTATAAGTACATTAAGATTACTTTCATTTTTTTTTTTTGTTGGTGGTGTTTTGTTGGGCAATAGATTGCAGCTATTGTAATTGTGCCCTCTTAGTATTAATAGTGCCAATGGTTACCTGATTTTTGGTTCTTGAATATTTTTAATAATTAACGCACTTTCTCCTCTTGCTGCATTTGATGGGTGAATAGTATGATAGAAGTTATACAGGGTGTTATTGAAATACACGTACATATTAAAATGGGGAATAGTATGTAATGACCAAAAACAATTGGCACCAATTTTAACTTCAAATTCTAAAATTTAAATATTGGGGAAGAGTCCCCTTTTCCGACCTACTAGTTTCCATATTTAAAGAAGTAAAATAAATCGAAATTGAACTTACCCATAGAAATTGCACTGTTGCCGTAGCAAAACCAATTAATTCAAAATAAAGTTTATTACAGTAATTGTTCAAAATGCCGTCCATTATTATTTACACACACTTGCAATCGTCTTTCTAAAGAACTTTGAACATTAGAAATTAGTCTTGGATTTTGTCTTAGTTCCTCGGCTACCGCATTAATTTTATTGGTTAATTGTTCAACACTATTAATAGGTTCATTATAAACCAGTTGTTTCATGTGACCCCACAATAAGAAATCGCATGGATTTAAGTCCGGAGATCTCGGAGACCACTTAGTAGGTCCATTTCTGCCTATCCACTTTTGAGGAAATTTAATGTTCAAAAACTGCCATACGTTTAAATCAAAGTGAGGAGGAGCGCCATCTAGTAGGTACCACATCCGTTGCCTTAATTGTAACGGTATCTCTTCTAGGAGTACTGGCAAAATATCTTCTAAAAAGTGGAGATATCCTGGCCCATTTAATCTGTTCGGGAGAACATAAGGCCCGATTAAATACTGATCTATTATGCCAGCCCAAACATTTATTGAAAATTTTCTTTGATGCCCAGTTTCCCTAATGGCGTGAGGATTTTCATCACTCCAAATATGCGTATTGTGCATATTGAACACGCCATCACGAGTGAATGAAGCCTCGTCAGTATACAATAATATTTTTAGAAAATCAGGAATATCAACACATTTTTGAATCATCCATTCACAAAACTCCACTCTCTTTTCTTCATCACCTGGATATAAGGCCTGGACTTTTTGGATGTGATAAGGATGTAAACCTTGTTCTTTAAGTGTCCGCCACACAACAAATGAGGACACTCCAATTTCAAGACCTAGTCTTCTACAACTTAATTGAGGCCGGTTTTCAACAGCTTCTAATATTTCTTCTTCGGCCGCCAATGTTCTTTGTGTTCTTGTTCTCCCTCGATCTGCATTGACACTCTCAAATTTTCCATGGTCTCTTAGATGCTGAACAGTTGAAATAAACGTACGACAGTCCGGAATTCTCCGATTTGGAAACCGTTCGCGATACAGGATTTGTGCTTGCCGAGAATTTTCTCCAGCTGCCCCATAAACCAACACTATATCCGTTAGTTCAATATTCGTAAATAGTGGCATCGTAAAAAAATATTTAAAAGTAATCGTAACAACACTTTTTACCAACTTGGAAATGACGCGCTCGTGTTAGCCAGATTCGTAAATCAACTAAAATTTTAATAATCTATAGTTTCAAAAATGTATAGTTTAAAAACAATCATTTATCAAATATTCTAGTTTTTTGATAACGAGGGTAGTAAAAACCAGTCTTCGGAAATAGAAATTAATTCGAAAATCTTGGCAACATGGTTATTTCTTACAAGACTAGTTTTCTTATCATCTGACAAAAACTTGCATATTAATTACTGTTGATGTTTAAAATAGGTAAATAAACCTAATTTATATAGGTCATCCTCAACATATCAGTGAAGTACGTTTGTTTTAGAATTAATTTTCAAAAATTAATAACTCCCTTAATAAGGGGTATTTTTAAAAAATAATATTTTTCTACATTCAGTGGGGATCTGCGCAATACCCAGTTTTAATATGTACGTGTATTTCAATAACACCCTGTATACCTTGACTTTAATGTAAGACTCCGTTGTAAGGTCGGTCTTAGAAATCAGACATATATCTATTTTTTGTAGGTACGTCAAAGAAAATTTGGATATTAATTGGTTTTTGAAGGATACCATTGGAATATCTTTTGTCCATTGGTGGTTTTGTTATATATTTGGGATATATTTATTTAGACATATTTGAATATATTAATTTCTGGAAAACTTTCAGGGCAAACGAAATTATCGCTGTCATGTCTCATTTTTTGAATATAAAATGTATATATTTTTTAACTACTTTGCTCGGGATAGTGATTGGCACAGGTGCTGTTTGGATGTAAATAAATTTGTATACTAACTTCGTAATTTAAGTAACAAATAGTGAGATTTTTACTACAACTACTGGTAAATAGGAACAGAATAAATAGACAAAATAATATTTGCACGGTTTTATTTAAAGGTATATTTCATATACATCTATCATACATTAAATTAATATTCTCGTGCAGGTGCATTAAATTAAATTAAATAATATTGCAGAACATATCTTTTACACAAATACAATAATAATAAAAAAATAATACAGCATGTCTACCCTAGACAACAAAAAATTTTTATCGCAGATAAATGTGGTGCACTTATTGTGAAATCACAAAGCTACACTCACTACTAATACTATAGATTTGTAGAAATCGATCAACTAAAAAAATGGCAAATATAAATAGATAAATTATTTTTTCCATATAAATAGTTGTAGATATTTGTTCATTTTGGATTAGTTCCATTTTTTAGTTGATGTCATTCTTATAACATATTTTACACGTAAACGACTTTATACACACGTTAAATAGTATTCAGTGATTGCTTGAATCAAAGAAATTGGCCCTAGGAATAAGCATAGATTTGGTGAAAATATCAAGCAATATAAATAACAATTAATCGGTCACAATAAGGAAAATTTGACATCGCATAAATATCCGTCAATTCCTGGACCATGAACATTATTTTAAATAAATTTTTAGAAATTAAAGCGATAAATAGAGTCAATAAATAAGGAAGAAAAGATTTAAATAAGAAATAATTAAAATTAAATTAATAAAAGATTTCAACAATTGTTCATAGTACAGGCAACAACGAAAATTTATGTTTAAAATTCGTAATTCTACTGGGAAATAAGTAGTTTGACAATAAGGAACTAAATACTAGGAAAATAGAAAATTGCATTGAATCTCTTAGGAAATACCTGCAACATTGCAAGTGTATATTTTAAACAGGATGGAACTTTTACTAAAAAATATCAAATTTTCCGTATAATAATCGATATAAAAATCGAGTCAAATCCATTCCACCAAATCTTAACCTAACCTACAAATTTAAAGAGAGGGTGCCTTCATCTTGTTTATAGCATTCGTAAGGTGCATTATTTCTGTGTTCAACTGGTGGGCGACGGATTCCAATTTATCTACTGAGTCGAGTACCTCAACTCTGGCTGTGTGCGGATTGAATCTGACTTCGAAAGGTCTTGACATTTGGGATACCCATCTTCTGAATTTGTCTTTCATGTCATCGATGCTCTCGGCTACGTAGTAGACAGGTTGGTACTCCTGGTCTTGGTATGGTTGAAGAGCAGTTCTGGCAGGGTCGAATGGCCTGTGTTCTGGTTTGTCTGAAAGAGCGTGAAGGAGTTCACCGTATGCACTGAGAAGACCTGCACCGTATACTTTGGTTTCGCCGTTTTCCTTGCAGAGACCGAATTCAACAGTGAACCAGTAAATCTGGAATAGATAATAAATAAATTAATAATTATGTCCATTGTGAGAAGGCATACATCAATTCTCTTTAATTAGAAAGATATCCCAGTGTTAACTCAGTTAAAGATAACCGTAGTTTGTAAAGCAAACTATCAATTTTTTAAGTAGATTCACACCCATAAATATTTGCATATCAATAAGGAACACCCTATATATAACTTATAACCTATATATAAAACTCTATGATAGATTATTTCAAGTTTGCCCACATGTAACTTATACAGGGTGTCCCAATAGTGTGTGAAAGTTCGATATATTCTATATTATAGAAAAAATCAAACAATGTTATTTACAAAAGCATGTAGTATTGAAAATATCACAAAATCTCCTACTAATAATAATGATATCTTGTGTAAACTAAAGAAGGACATTAGGGACAAATGGTCGGCTTTATATAATGAGTTTGTTAGTAGATCAAAAAACCATTACTTTTTAATACATCCTACCCTCCCAAAAGATATTCCAAACCTCTATTTCTCTACTTCTAGAACATATTCTACCATTATAACGCGACTTAAACTAAATCACGGACGTTTTCCTCATCATCTGAACAAAATAGGAATTTTAGAGAATCCCTACTGTCCTTGCGACAATTCAAGTATTGCAGACTTGAATCACCTATTCTTCCACTGTTCCAATAATAATAATGCTATAATACAATTAATATCTGAGCTAAAAAACTTTAATATATTCCCCCCACTTAATATTACCACTCTTCTTAATAGTTTTGACAAGAACATATATGACCTATTAGTACAATTTATATATAAAACCAAAATAGTTATATAATATATTGTAATAATACCACAAACAATCTGTGGCAAATGGACTTCGAATCCGATGCCAGCCCCCACCCAACACACACACACACACACACACACACACACACACACACACACACACACACACACACACACACACACACACACACACACACACAAAGTTGTAGAATATATTAATCTGCACATTTCAAAATTATTTTCAATTATTCAGAGTGATTAAACCGGTGTTTTTTTTTTAAATGGACCACCTTGTATTTAATTATAAATTTGAATTCCCCTGACTTTGCCCTTCATGAAAATATTAACATGTATGAGGATATACTGGGTATTTTGGAAGTTTAAACCAATTTTTTATGAAAATCGTACTAGGTTCAACCCTCTGCATATTTCAAAAGAAACAATCGAACATCAAAATTTTTTAAAGAATCAATTTTAATAATAGTTTACTTTTATAAGAATATACTAATTTTTTTCTAGCGCAACAGATGTGTACAGGGTGGGTCAAAACTCAGATACATGATTTTCTCAATTTAATATAATACCCTGTATTTCATATTAAAAAGTACTTTAATTATACGTTCGTTTGTCCCTATCCCTAAACACAACAGTTTAGAAGATATTTTATATTTGATTGAAAAAAATATGAGCCATCATCAATATCATAGCCAGTTATCTTAAGTGATAGAACTCTAAAAATAGGACGGCAGCAGCTGCAAGCCACACAAGGAGTCCCACAGGGGTCTGTCTTGGGCCCAACTTTGTGGAATGTTCTCAGACTGGAGTAAGAATAACGCTCTAGGACAGTGGCATATGCAGATGACCTTGCTCTGGTGGTAGGCGCAAACTCAAAAGACGATCTAACACATATTTTAAACTCTGCGCTAAGACGTATTGAAGAATGGATGACCAATAACAATTTTACATGTTGGTATTTTCTTGAAGAGAGAAATAAGGAAAATTTAAATTTACAATTAAATACAGGGTGGTCCATTTAAAAAACATAGGTTTAATCAATTCTGAAGTAATGGATCACTCTGTATAATCGAAAATAATTTTGAAATGTGCAGATTAATATTATCTACAACTTCTGTTAATAATATTGTTTGAAATTTTCTATCATATAGAATATATCGAACTTCCACACACTATTGGGACACCCTGTAGATAAGGTGATAATTAAAAGTATTAAGACAACAAATTTTCTAATAAAAATAGAGTAAGAAAAGTACAATGGCAGTAAACATTTACTATCCTTCTCCATTTATGAAATATTCAATAGAAATATCGTGTTAACACTCAACACAAAGAGGTATTATACAAAAAAAAAACTAAATACAATAATAATTATTGCTGCTAATAAGTAGATGGATCTAGTGAACAAAAATGTTATTTTTCTGTAAAAATGCGATCAATATGTCAGGGTCAAGTGTATTTACGCACGATCGACCATCACAAGTGCATTGAATGCAATTTACCTAATCTGCACATGGTCAAGCATCATTTTGCAATCCAAGAAACTAGGTCTGAGGCGCATATCAACTCACATGGAAATGCACGGTTCTCGTATTTTTGCATATTAAAACCAGAGCAAAAATATTATGTATACAATATGTCCCAACATAACGAAATCGTATACCCGCTCTAGGTACAAAATACAGAATAGGTTGAGGGAGGTAATAAACTGGTAAAGTCGTATGCTGGGTAAGAAATTTTTTAAATGATTTAATTAAGGATTTTTAAATCCTGTCAAACTGATTGAATATGACGGATGATTAGCTCATCTACCTAATTTTTTACGTTCTTCGTTTGAAAACCGCCAAGTTGTGATTTTGAGAGTAGATTGAAAACAAAATTACTCTTTCATTTGTGGTTTAAATAAAAATTAATTATCTGTTTTAATTTAAACATGTCAATGTATATAACTCTTAATCATTTTTGTTTATAAAAATGTTTGTGTTAATCGTCTACCATTTTTATTGTCAAAATATATCTTGAAATATATAACTTGCAGCTTAACATATGACAATCGATAAAAAATTACAGTAAACATTCCTGGTCCTAATTTTAAATCATTAACCTGGGAATAACCTCACAAAAACAAAACAAAAATTTAATATGCAATTTCTTTCAATGTCTATTTACTAGTATACAGTATGTGTGAAGAAGCTAGCAACAAATAGGAAATTTATTTATTATTAATTTTAGAACAAATATTATTCTTAATAAAAAATTTGTAAAATATTTAGTGGTATCCAACAAATAAAGAATGAAGAAAAAAGTCATGTCATAGAAACAATGAGCGACCATTTCCCTTCTGAAAATAACTACTTCTTTGGCTAATACCACAACAGGCATTGCATTATATCAAAAGGTGAATAGCAGAGATAGAAAATTATTTTTAGAACTCTAACATTGCCTTTGGTTTCTAAGGAAAAAATCATTATTGGTTCTGTTTCGTCCTTATTATGACTCTTCAGCAATAAATAGACCATCTCGACTCCAGTGTTTAATACCAATACAAAATTCGCTGGTACACATTAACAGCGGATCGGAGTGATACTTTTGAAACCAGTTGTGAAATGTTTTATTTTATGTAACAAGTAAATATTTTCGGAATGAGCAGAGTGAGGTCCCACAACATGAACTAGTTACATAAAACGGCAGTTCGTAACGTGTTACATAGAATATTTTTTTCTAATTTTGACTAGATTATTTATAACATTGTGTTTTTGTAAAACATTGCTGACATCTAGGCATTCACTATTACTACTTTCTTGTATTGTTAGTTGCATACGATTAACTTCATTCTTTTATTAACAAATAGAAAATAATTTTAATTTATTTTCAACGACTTGTAGTGTGCTTATATTATTTGGTCGAATTTAGATTTCAAGACAGTGGGTTATTTTGTCGTGTATTGTGTTTTAATTATTTTGTGCTGATTTAGAATGGAAAGTAGGAACCAAAATAACATTATTACTAGGTTGTTAGTTTAATTAAATTCTGTTTTTATAAGTCAGGATTCTTTTCTAATGAATTTTTCGAAACCATTTTGATAATGTTCAACATTCTGCAACTGGTTGCGTAAAGTTGATCATTTTGACCCTTGCTGCAATTACAAAAACTGTCATATTATACGTCGAAATTAGAAAATTGTATTAATTATTAGGATACCGTCATTTTCAATTTTTATCAACATTTTATAATATTTTGTTGCGTAATTAAATTTATAAACACTTTACTCTTCTGCATAAATCAATATTTTCTATTTTCCCTGTGTTTGTATCCGTATATGTAACGTGTTGAGGGTGGGTTGCCCCCACGGCCCTTAGGCCTCAGTAGGGCCATTGTGCATCCTTCCAAGATGATAGGCACCTACTAGCTCGTGAGCCAGTCGTGAGCCAGTCTACAGACTTATTGTAGTTAACAACGTCGCCAAGAGGTGCTTCTATTATATCGGCCGGTGTTAGCCGATACTCGCCGAACACAAATCTTCTAATAAATGAGAGCGTCGAGCAAACGTAAAGGATATGCTCTGACAGCCCCATGATATGGAGATGCTTCCGTACTTGCAATGCCCAGTCAGAATTCCTGTGACTAGGCGCAGATTCTATCTAGTCATAGTCAAGTTTTGTTTGTTGCAGTATTGTCAAGATAACTTAAGAGCTCCTTGGCAACTCTGCAGTTTCTTGTTTCATCCCATTTTTCCTTGAATTTCACAAGGGAATATTCTTTAATTAGGTCTGTAACTACCGATTTTGTCAGGCCAACAGAAGAAAAAGAATTTGGTTGACTGCTTTTTTGGCTAGTGAATCAGCAAGACGGTTACCTTTCGATGTAGCTTGACCTTTGAGCCATCTTAAGGTGACCACATTGTTGATGCATACTTCAGCCAAAGCTTCGTGACATTCTAATACTAACCCTGTATACCACTAAATATTTTATAAATTTTTGGTTATTAATTAAATGTGATGCAAAATTTTTATTGTAAACTTATAAATAAATAAAGTTCCCATTTATTACCAACTTTTCAGAATATATGGTGAATCATAAGTTGATACTTTTAATAAATAATGATATTTAAAAAAAAAACACCGAAATAAGAAAGATAGAGAATTTAAAAATCTAAATCCGTGCCTAGACTTGTGTATAAAAAGTTACGCTAATAAGTTTGTTAATGATTTTATTTTTTTGTTTTTCGGCTTTTCCTATGAATCATATTTCATTGGGTATCGGTTATTGTAATTCAGTCGCGTGTGATTTCGGTACCGTGTATCTGAAGTAGTAAATTAAAAAAGTGACAACATTGCGAGAAAATTAATTGTATACCTTTTATATTTAATTTATGCGTTCAACTTGAAGATTCCCCACAGAACTCAGTTTCAGAGAAGGTTCTTACAACGGCATGAATGTGATCAACTTTTCTCAACGAAAGTTCTACAAATTATTTAAGTTTGACAGGACCGTATTGTATATATTTTGGAATATTGGAAGTTTCTTATTTTTGAGGTTTTTTTTTTATTTAAGAAGGTTGTTTAATTTAATTAGCTACTTCAATGAAAAAAAAAATCTGATTTGTTTGACACATTAGTATCTAGAAATTTTTTATCAAATATATTGAGTCCTCTAATTAAAACGTCTATAGAATAAAAATTTTCTACGAACATTTTATTACATATTATTTTCCTCAAATTTCTATTGCAAGTTCTATTTTAGAAAATACAATCAAAAATAACTTTTATTCAAAGAATTTTTTTCTACTATAATAACCGAAATATTATATCTTTCAGTAGAAAAACCCCTTAGATGCTCCGTCTATGTTTAGAATCTAATCAACTTATCGCAGGATGGATTACAGCTTAAGTTTAAAATTTTTAATCGTGAAATAGGTACTTTTCACTAATCTGAATAGTTTTATAAAAGGTATAAAATTAGAGACCAACTAGGGTCAATCCCTAAAGGCTTAGAGTAAATAATGGAATACGCTAAGGCTATATTTTAAATCTTTCAGTCAAAGTACATCGATAAACTAGAACTAAAATTTGAAAATACTTACAGTTGATAGTTTTTCGATTTCTTCGTCAGACGCGCCAAGCGAAGCCAGACCTATTTCCTGTGAAAATTGAGCAAAACTGGGATCGGCAAGAAGTGGCATGTGTCCTAGGATTTCATGGATGCAGTCTCTGGAATAAATAAAAACAAAATCCAAATTTAATCAATCGAAACGTTACTGTCTTGAAATTGACAATAATCCTCTGGGAACCCGTAACTGAGATTGTAATACCGGAGATTATTGTTGGTAGAACATTAAAATCGAAATATGCGATATTCTTTTGTCATGACGATAAATTCTGTCGAGATAAATTTTTTTGCAGTACTCAATAATAATTAAGATAGGATTTAAATGCCTAGAAAGAACCTGATATTATAGATAGGTGAGGCAGACGCATTAAAAAATTTAATAGTCTCGCTTTTTAGTAACAACTTTATAACTTTTAATCGCAACAATAACTAAGTAGCAGATGTTGATTCTCTTTTTTTTTATTATTACATAATCTTATTAATGATTATCTCAATGTATATGATTACAAAACCACTATGTCATAAAATTAAAAAAAATGCTTATTTTTAAATGAAGAATTGATCTATTTTTGGCCTAAGACAAATTTTTAATACTAAAAGTCAGAACGTGTCTAAATTGTCATCTGTCTAGAAGAATTCTTTAACATGTGACCGCGACATAAACTGTTTAACAGAAACTTGTCTTAACGAGAAAATTTGACATATACAGGGTGGATCGGATTTAATTTGCGTATACAGAGATCTCGTAAACCGTAAGATATAGATTGTCGGTTAAATGGGGAAAAAGTTTCGTATTTTGACGGATAATACAATGGTCCATTGAGGTTCCTGACTGGTTCCGGAGATATTCGATTAAATCCGAAAAACCTCATTTTCGTTTTTTAAGTCGTGCGTAGTTATTATAAAAGATACAAAAAAAATTATACGAAGTTTCGTATTTGCAGAGCCACCTTCAACTTATTTTTTTAAATACGGCCCTGAATTTTTAACTGTAATTTTTTATAGCTTTTGTATAGATAAATACAACGATATGTTACACTTTATCATTTTACTACGTTTCGTCTATGAAACTATCATCAGCTATGTAGCTTCTGATGATACCGTTTCAAAACAAGATAGCTAAATAAATTATAATTAAAAAACAAAAAATGCTTAAAATGTGAAATTTTAAATATTATTTGAAACCTAATACAAGAATTATTTAATTACAAAATGAGTTACAATTTTTTATCAAACATGATTAAGTACATCCAGCAAACAAGACTAATGAAGAACGAATTATGGTTGTACACATTCTACAAATAATAAAGCTAATAACAAAAACAAAATTCAAAAACAAAAAGAGTCACAATAGTTGCTCAAAATGTAGTCCATTCTGTTGGATGCAGAGTGCAATTCTCCTAGATATTTGGGATGTAGTTTTATCAACCATTTCTGGTGTAATTTTTTCAAATGCATCTACTATTCGTTGACGAAGTACTTGTAGATTATTTGGCATATTTTTATCGTAGATTTGGTTCTTTACGAAGCCCCATACAAAATAATCCATGGGGTTAAGACACGGACATCGAGGAGGCCATCTTATTGGTCCATTGGTACCAATCCAAGTACCTCTAAAATATTACCTCCTAGCATTGTGTGCACCACAACCGTCTTGCATAAAGTATTGAAGATTTTTGTCTTGTTTGTAAGGGCATCTCATCGAGTATTTCCTCCAATAAATGTAGGTATCGGAACTGATTTAAATTACCATCCAAAAAACTTGGCCCAATAATCTGATTATTGATTAGTCCACACCACAAATTTTGGGTAAAACGGAACTGTGGTCTACCTTCTCTGATTAAATGAGGATTAGAAGTAGTATACAAATGCTTGTTCCTGGGATTAAATATTCCACTATTAGTAAAAGAGCATTCATCCGTCCATAATATCATTTTATCTTTTTGTTGAAAGAACGCTCAGTGCGCAGTTTTCTACTATACCAACGACAAAACATCAGTCTTCTATCAGAGTCTCCAGCGTGTAATTTCTGGACTTTTTGAAATTTATACCCGTGGTATTTATGTTTCTTTAAAATTCTTTTAACCGTGGAGGTTCCTACTACACATTCTTTAGCTATTTGCCTAGTAAAATTTTCAGGGTTAATATGTATTTGGGCAAGAACATTACTTTCATTATCAGTATGTCGAACCTGATATCTAGTTCTCCTTTTTTTTTCACACTGCTATGCTCTGCCATATTTTTTGAAATATAAGAAAACATCCTCTTAGATGGCTGTTGTCTATTAGGATATAAATCTTAATATGTCTGAGCTGACCGGGTTTCATTCCTATAGCATCTTATGTACACATCATACATATCTTTCTTCTCTTCTTCAGTATAACGAACCATAATATTTATTTAATTTTAAATTATTTATAGCTAAAAAAGTACTGTAATATTAGATGTTACAGATTATAACAGAAATATTGGTGACAAATTACAACTGACATGCATGGCAACAGGCCCGACTAGAGGGGGGGGGGTAGCCGGGACTAATTCCCGGGGCCCAGGCTCAAATGGGGGCCCGGCAGCGGTATAAGGGGGGCCCGACAATGGGGATTTCTGTTTCCGCATGAGAAATTTGATATAACAAGAGAAAGGGGAAGTGATGGGATTGAAAGTTGGAGGAACGAAAAGTTTTAGGTAGAGGACTTTTTTTTTTAGAAGAAGAAGTAATTGAGGTACGGAGATAATTTATGGGCCCGATGTAGGGAATTGTCCCGGGGCCCGACCTGGCTCTCGGCGGCTTGGCAAACATGATTTTGTTAAGATCTTATGTATGCAAAAATGAAAACATTAAAGATAGAAAAAATACGGTGTGAGAAACCTAAGCGAAACATTTTTCAGAAAATCAGGTGATAGGAATTTATATTGACCGTTTTGTTTTTCATTTTATGTTTTTGTTATTAGATTTATTATTTATAGAATGTGTACAACCATAATTCGTTCTTCATTAGTCTTGTTTGCTGGTTGTACTTAATCATGTTTAATAAAAACCCATTTTGTAATTAAATAATTCTTGTACTATGTTTCAAATAATATTTAAAATTTCACATTTCAAGCATTTTTTGTTTTTAATTATTATTTAATTAGCTGTCTTGTTTTAATCAAGTAAGAAACGGTGTCATCAGAAGCTACATAGCTGATGATATTTTCATAGACGAAACGTAGTAAACTGGTAAAGTGTAACATATCGTTGTATTTAGGCATAAAAAAGCTATAAAAAATTACAGTTAAAAATCCAGATCTGTATTTAGAAAGATAAGTTGAAGGTGGCCCTGAAAATACGAAACGTCGTAATAAAAATTTTGACATGGCAGATTATAGGGAACTTGATTTATAACAAAAACTTCGTATAATTTTTTTTGTGTCTTTTATAATAACACACGACTTAAAAAATGAAAAGCTTTTCCCCATTTAACCGACAATGTATATCTTACGGTTTACGAGATCTCTGTATACGCAAATTAAAACCGGTTCACCCTGTATACATTTTTACTGTTTAGAGATAATAAAAACATTTTTTTGTTTGTAATTCATTACTTTTTAGATTTTAAATTAATTATAAAACGAAATTATCAATTAACATGAATTACATGAATCAAATAAGATTTAAAGTAAATTATAAACTTTAGTTATTGTTTCAGTAAAGTTTTATCACACCAACTGCATTAAATGTTCATTTTCGAAACAGGCCAATCGAATTTCTAAGATCAAAATTTTTTTCGTATCCCTCACACATAATTACTACATTATAGAGCTCGGGATGTCATCAAAGAACTTCCCTTTAATTGAATCTGTATTCCATTACAGCGAGAGAGCTAGATTAATAGCGTGGTGCTTAAGTTTGCAATTGAAAATTAACGAAAAGATCCAGCGGCGTAGGTTTTTTCGCGTTATGTTTTTTAGCTTTATTTTTTAATGTTTCGCAGATTTTTTAATATATAAATCTTACAACGATGTGAACAAAGTTTAATAGGAACATGAGCATAACAAACAACACCGTTGACAGCAAGCATTGATATACGATTTTAAATTTTGCTCCCTCCACTACATATATCAGACACAGATTAATGCGTGTCGAGCGACAGCGGTCTCTGATATGTGCATGATCCTATTATACCTTGAAAAAATAATTTACGACCAACAGAAAACTATCATCAAGTCATAAATATTATGAGAATACAATTAAAATCCAATATTATTGTTTAAAGTGATAATCATATTGAAGAATTATTAATTACGTAATAATTAAACTCAGTTCTATATCTGTAAGCTGGGGGAGGGTGGGTTGTTCCACAGCGCTTAGGCCTCCTTAGGCCTATTGTGCATCTTTCATGAGTATACAGCCTCTCAACTTCTCAAAACCTGCTGGTTGTCACTGAGAGGTGTCTAGAGGCAGCTGCCTTCTTAGCTCATCAAAGTTGTGTAGGATATTAACACTTCAAAAACCTGCTAGTTGATGCTGAGGGGTGTCTCCAGATAGCCATCTTCTCAGTTCATCAAAGTCCTGCAGGTTATTAATTGATCAAAAACCTGATTGCTGTCACAGAGGGGGGAGGTCTAGGGATAACCATCCTCTCATCAAGAAGTGAGTGTCTCTAGATGCCTCAATTTTGTAAAGTGGGCTTCTACCACTCCAATGGTAAATGCCCGGGTGAAGCCATTCTATCCGCCTACTCCACAGGGCAAATTGAACTCAGTTAATTCATAATACAAATGAAAATTGGGAGAAAATGGACCATTTGAATGGGATAAAATAAAGGACGTTAATATAAAAGTGACAATTACTACTACCAACCTTTTCTATATTTTCTGTTAATGGTTTTATTTGTTATTCCTCTTGCTCTGTTAGTTCTCTAAAATTTCTATATTTCCCATATTAATGATATCTGTAGTTTTCCATATTCTGATCAAAGTTATAGCCTCCTAATTTTGAATTTGAATACTGTGTTCAAGATTGGGTCTTATTTGTACCTTATCAAGAACTTGGGGAGAAATAATATGTCCTTGCTCTATTTAAAAATCCCAATTTCTTATCAGTGATAGTAATGTTTGTGTCATATGAGCAACCGTAGGATTGTGTAATACTGAAATAGACTGTGGCTTCTTGGATCTATTGTACTCCTCTGCTTTCTCCGTATTCAAGTAATATATCTGAGTAGTTTTCTGCTTTAAGTTAGTTTCACTGGGTTTAAGTCCTTTTTAAGATTCGAGATATTTTAATTTCTCCTACATTCATCCTTATTTTTATTTCTGGAACCTTTGATAATTATATTTAATAGTTTAGATACCAAGATGTATCTTCCATAAGTCATATAAAGTTATAATGAAAAATATAAAAGAGATGGAAGTTGCAAAGTAGCAAAAAAGGTCCATAAGCAATACATCAAGGTCACGGGATTCTCATGGCAGCAAAAAGCGTTACCAAAAACACTGGAAGGAACATTCTTATCTATATAGATAGCAGACAAGTAGGTACTACTCGTCATAGACAGACCACAAATTGACTCACGTTTGGTACTAGAATATCACGAGGCTTTGGCCAAAGTATCAATCAACAATGTAGTCACCTTAAGATGGATTGAATGTCAGGCCAATTCAAATAACTGCCTTGCCGATTAACTAGCTAAATAGGCAGCCAGGCAAATGCATTTTGGACCTGGCCCTTCCTCTGCCCTGACGTCATTGATAGTGACAAATCTAATTAAAGAACATTCTCTTGTGAAATTCGAGGAAAGATGGGATAAAACAAGAAGCTACAGAGTTGTCAGGGACATTTGAAGTCATCTTGACAACACTACAGTAAATAAATACTTGACTATGACTGGACAGAATCTGCGCCTGATCACAGGCATTCTAATTATGCAAATAACAAGATTAAACCGTTGAGCATATCCTTTAAGATTTCCCGATTCTCTTATTTAATAAAATATTTGTATTCGGTGAGTATTGGCCAACAACGGCCAAAACTGGGGTATTTTACCTAAGAAAATTGTCAACTACATTAAATTTGTGACTAACAAGCTAAGAGATGCCTATCAATTAAGCCCAGTGAAGCCTAAGTGCCGTGAGGGTAACGATCCTTCCACACTTTACAAAGAACAGTTAAGATAACATTTGAAGCTAAGGCTCGCGTTAATAGTTCAGTTAAATAAAAGAAAACAAATGTACTTACGGTTCTGGAGTATGGAATGGTGTTTTGGTGTGTCTAACATATTGTGTACTTTGGAAAATTCTAAATGCGAGTGAAGCCAAAAAGTCTCTGGCCGTAAGTAAACCAGCGGCAGGTCTGAGAGTGAATCCTGTACATTTTTGCATAAATTTAGACATATCCTCGAGTTGGGGCACTGTGTGAGGTGTGAATATTCCTTCTTCTTGAAGTATCCTAAAGACTGTTCTGTATTCAGCGCACGCGTGTTTGGGCATCAAGTCGCAGACTGTGGTGAAAACCGCATTCCAGGTTTTGTTTTCTGTTTCAGTGTATTCGATGTGTGGAACTGGTGCTCCACTGAAAAAGAAAAGCATTTAGTATAATTTAAAAAAAAACTACTTAAATGTAATAGATACTCTCATTTCTATAAAAATATAAAACAACAATTAATAGCTTTTTGTGTAATAAGAGTAGAAAGTAACAGTTTGGCCGTTGAGATTACCAAAGGACTTTCTGCTCGAATTAGACATAAGATTTGTTTTATGATCACATCAAGATTAAATGAAATATTAATTTAATTAATTATTTACAAAATTATCTACAAAATTTCAGTCACAATACACTAACTAATGCTTTCTTCGACATCGACCTACTTGATTCCCAAGTTGTTTGTATGTTGTGTTGCCTACCTATTACTATGTGTGAGTATACAGCTCACTTTTAATTTTATATGTCGGTAATTATTTATGGTCTAATCAGTTAATTATTTACGAAAAATACTATTAGCTGATTTAAAATATTAGGACATCAATTAAAATATTTTAGACTATAGTCTGTGTTAAAACAACTACTAGCTGTATTTTATCTATAAATAAAATGAGGCGTCCGCTTAAGAACGCCAATAATGTCAAATTATGACAGCTTGTAGAAAACATTAACTTTGCAGTTACTTTCTAAGGCGCAAAAGCCTACTTACAATAGTGATCGTGGAAAATAGTTATTTGTGTATTAAGAGCAAAAAGCGATACTTTGCCGCATGGCAATCTGTCGAAAGCGGCAACGAACGTTTTGCTCAAAATACATCCAAGATTTTTTCTACGATCACACTATTTTAAGAAATAGATATAAAACTGAAAATTTGTCGTAAGTAGTGTATAATGTATTGCTTATGTCTAAGTTAATCATAAAAATGGATTTGATATTAAAAGTCATTGTTAACTTTGATAATAAAACATTAAACTACGTACAAATAACTTAAAAATCATTTGTTAAAAATAAATATTATTACAATATATCTAATTTAGATCAGGCAAGCTACAAAGCTGTCAAGTTTTCCGATGAAAGAGCGACAAAGCTGTCACTTAATGTCAGTTCGCGGAAAACGTTAACTTTGCGGTAATATTTCGAAGCGCAAAAGCCTACTTTGTATAGTGATCGTAGAAAAAATAATTTAATGACATTATATGTTATTTGTATTAAATTTTATTTATTTTGTTAACGTAGACTTACTATTTGTAAGCAAAAGCAATTTCTGCAATATCCTTCCTTCTAGATCTGTATTCTTTATCGGCAAAACCAGGATGATTCATATCCAGATCGGGCTCGTATTTGGTCATCAAATGATTACAATTATCCAATTCACTAGCGTGTCTGGGGAACCACGGGTTCTTAGCTGAAATGTTATCTTCTCCAATCAAGGTAGCATGTTCCAATGTACCAGACTGACGTAGACCTTTAATGAGTTGCAATAGATTGACGCGCGTCAATGCGATCTTAATCAGAGCATCAAGTTGGCCGTTGTCTCTTTTGTTGGGACGAGTTTCCAAGTGAAGAACGGATCCTTGGTACTTTTCAACGGCCTTGAGTACGCGTGAAAGTGAGTTCATACCTTCACGCAAGCGAAGAATTAGGGCAGCCTTCTGGATGGCCCTTTCTGCTTCGGGTCCATCGGATATTGCGTTGGCTAGGACGATTTCTTCTTCTGTCAGGCCCGTATCTACAAAAAAATATATTAATAATTGCAAAGTTCTTTGACACGTAGGAAAATACATTTAATTTGACCTTTCTTATTTAAGCTGAGCTAAGATTGATAAAAAACGATCAAGTTTAGCATGTGACGAAAAATATTTTTTTTATTAAAGTATAAATTATTATTATATAATATAATAATATGTTTTAAGTAAGACAAATTAAATTAACAGGTAAAATTACTGACCCAGTTTGTCTAAATTTCATGAATAAAACTGCAATAAAATTATTATGATTTAATCTTTGTAAATGGCACCATAAAAGTTGATTCACGCAATCCTGAAAAGATCTGTAAAGTACATCATTACTTTAACGATACTTTCAGCGGTTTCAGCAACCAGAGCGACCATATTTTCAGGGCTTAACCACTAAATCTAGTTCTTCCTGACAAATGGAGAGTGAAAATTGACTTTTGACGTCACAAAAGCGATTTCGACCCTTTGTAAGAGCTTGCACTTTACTTGTAGCTCCATTCTCAACACAATTACATTCCTTTCGCATGAAATGTCTACTGAGGAAGAAAAAATTATGAATTTATCGTCGCTACGTTCAACTTAAGTTAATAATTGTGTCAAGTTCTTTGCAGAGGCGTATGGAAAATATCATTTGAAGGAAAAAGCTTTTTTGTATTATATATAATTGGTGCAGAAAGAGTTACTTTCTAGAACATTATATTGGAAAACAGCACCATAATTAGATTTTTAGATCATTTAGAAAGTATTTAGAGAACTGCAGTAAGATTCTGACATTTTTAATGCATTTATCAACTGTAACCAATATAGATAACCTAAAAATTAATAACAAAAGTTGCAGCTATTATCAAAATTCAAAAATGAATTGCCTCATTGTAAAATTTTATTAGCAGCATAAATTGTAGATATATAATTCTGTAAAATTACATTTTGTTATTCTAAGTAGCTACATTGTAGGTATTTACAACTTTACATTAACTGATACTTGGCAATTTATTACAAAAATGTTTCTTAAATTTAGTCTTTTTGTCTGTGAATCATCTAATTTTAAATTCCTTATATGATCTGGTTGGTTATTCCTTCTACGCCAATGTAAATTTGATTTCACAAAAATTGGACTTAATTCGTATTTATTAAAAATGATGGAATCATAATATTGTAGTAATCTAGTAGACCTATTAAGTCAGATGCAATTTACAAAGAGTATCATGTAACCATCATAATCGTCACTTATATTAAAAAAAAACCGTTTGCATAATTATTTTTCCTTTCTAATTCCTTAATTGACCTAGTAATATTTTAGGTTAATAAATCAATAGTTAAAAAAAAAAGAATCGAATAGGGCAGCTAACAAATTAGTTAAAAAATAAAATTTATAAATTTATCATAAATGTACAATACTTATAAATTGCGGATATAGCAGATTTAATTATAAGACAACGGATCTGGCAACAGTGTTGTTAGAACAATTAAACTAAATATTAAATATTAAATAAATATATAAAGTGTTTTTAATATTGTGAAATTATAATTTAATTAAACAAGTTTACAAGCAAACATATACAGGGTTGGCCAAAATTGGCGAAAAGAAAGGTAAACATTATTTTGAATAATTAATGAATAACTATTCACACAGTTATCTGCTGTCCTATCATAATGTACCAATTTAAATTGTTTTACCATGGTTTTACTTTTCGACATTATAAATGTCATACTGACATTTCGATATTAATCACTCAGTTTTAATAATACGAATCTTGTACATCTTTGATAGAACTATCTAACTTTTATTAACTTGTAAATTTTAATTCATTGTGGTTTGTGAAGCTAACTAAACAAGCTGAGTTTAATTGCAAATCTACTTATTTCACCCAAAGTATAGTCTAGAGAAGAAATGAGTGCAGTAATTTAATTTACAGAATGTAGTATATACCTCATCCTTCAATGCTTATTTGTAGTTAAATTGAAAATTTGAATACATTTATTCGACCTAATAAAAATTTCGTTTCCATGGTTTTTACTGTAATAAACCTTTTCTTTTGACAGATAAGTCAGACTTTATTCGAAATATTGTATTAGGATATATTATAATTTTACAGTTATATAAAGAAGAAAAAAATATCTTACCTAATATATTTAATAATCTTCAAAAATACTTTCCGTGAATGAGCTGTTTCGCTTAGATACAACTAGTGAAATCATAGGATACGCAGATGATACTGCCTTTTTTTATGAAGCAGACACCAACATTAAGGCAATAAAAAAATGGTTTGACCATAAGCTCTTAACAATGAATTTAAATAAGACCAAATTTTTACCTTTTAGTTGTGACGCCAGCTGAGTAACAGATTTTCAACAAATTAACATTGAAATTAATGGAAAAAATTTTGGCAATAAATCGGTTGTCGAAATGAAATAATTGGGGATATATTTGGATTGTCACTTAAGGTGGGATAGACATATTAATCAGGTAGTAAAAAAATTGCAGCAAATTATCCAGAAATTTGAGCAAGTTCAATGAAACTGGAAGTGTGAAAAACGATCCCAGATCTGGAAAGAAGAAAATTCACTTCATCTGGTTCTAAGTGCACAAGAAGAACCAAAAACTTCAGTTTCAATGCTTGCGTTAGACAATAATATAAGAGATCTGTAAGGAGGATTCTGAAAGTCATTAATTTCATCCCTATAAAGTGCAATTACACCAAGAATTGAACGAAGATGACCTAGATAGGTGAATGCAATTCTGTCAGGAAATGATAGATACCATTAATGGAAATAATATGTTGATAAACAACATTGTTTTGTCTACAAATCAACATTTTGCCTCAGGTTTTCAAAAAAGTTCGCGAATAATGTACATCTTGCATCAAAATGCCCAAAACATGTAAATAATGGGTCATTCACCATATAGTCAAGACCTATAACCTAATGACTTTTTCTTATTTCTGTGGATTTAAGTTTGACAATGCTAGAAGCATTCATGTCTTTAAAAATGTAATAAACAAACTACGGTCAAAAAACTGGAGAACATGTTTTCAAGAATGGTTTTCCCGAATGCAAAGTGCGTTGACTGTGGATGGAAATACTAAATAAAATAATAAGTAAATGTTTTTTGTAAATAAATTGTTTTACTTTAATATGTTCAACAAAAACAGAACAGTCTCGTATACAGGGTGTTTTCAAAGTTGAGTCATATATTTTAACAGCTTGTAGAACTCGTCAAAAGAAGTCGATATACCAAAAATCACCTAAATAAAAGTTGCATATTAAAAGAAATAAAAAGGAATTTCAAAATTTTAAAACTGATAGAAATACAAACTATTTATCCGCATATTTTAATATTCCTGAGCACTGTCAAGTAAAAACTTATTATATTATATTATATTGTATTATATTATTTGTTTACTACGACAATTTTACTTATCTAGGTATGGCTATTTTTTTTTTGTTTTACGGTTTTGGGAACGATTTTCGGTTAGTTATTGGTATCAAGCGTTTAGTTCGCATCACTTTAATTTTTTTGATATTTTGTACGGAAAACTGGCCCACGTTTATGGAAACAATGAACTAGTGGACATAATACTAACATACGAAGAATGCCAACAAAATGCAGCCGCAGCATGTCGCCTTTACGCGGAAAGATTTCCATTAAGAAACCGGTTCCACGGATGTTTGGAAATTTAGTTATTCGACTTCGTGAGACAGGATACTTGAAAGAACAACGAGGGGGTCACGCTGGAAGACCTGCTCCACCTGAAATGGTAGAAATTGAGGAACATATTTTGGAAATGGTGGAAGATGACCCAACAATAAGTACAAGAGCCATAGCAACTCAAGTCGATGTTTCCCATGGTAAAGTGTGGAAACCAATACGACAGGAACAATATTATCCTTATCATTATCAACGGGTACAAGCATTACAACCTGAAGATTATCCTAGAAGAGTTAAATTTTGCCAGTGGTTTTTACAACAGTTGAACAAAAATGAAGATTTTACGAAAATAATTTTAGCTACAGACGAATCCACATTTACATGAAATGGGATATTTAATTTTCACAACAATCATGTTTGGGCAGTGGAAAATCAGCATGCCGTAAGAAGATCTAATTTCCAACATAGATTTTCATTAAATGTTTGGGCTGGTGTAGTAAATGGTATGCTTATTGAACCAAACTTTTTTCCACCTCGGCTAACCGGTGACATTTATTCAGATTTTCTTCGACACCATCTGCCAGAATTATTAGAAGATGTTCCACTGAATTTTAGGCATGATATGTGGTTTCCACATGACAAAGCTCCACCGCATTTCAGAAAAGGAGTTCATGAATATTTTAATGAACAATTTCCGAATAGATGGATAGGGAGGAATGGACCCGTTTCTTGGCCTGCACGCTCCCCGGACCTAATGCGTTGTGATTTTTTTCTGTGGGGTTATTTAAAACAGTTAGTGTATCATAATGGAGAAGTAAATACTGTGATAGAACTTCAAGACCGCATTGTAAATGCTTGTGATGTTATTCGCAGACATCTACATTTTATTTTTGAGGCCTGTTAGGAGTCGTGGGTACGCCGAGCAAGACTATCCATTAATCGGACAAATGGTGACAATTTTGAACAATTTTTGTAAAAATGGAATACATTTTACCGATAATGAATGTTTTTAATTAAAAAAAAAAACCTATAACTCCCTTATTATGCATCTTTTATTAAGGTGATTTTTGGTATATCGACTTCTTTTGACGAGTTCTAAAATAAATGACATTGACAACACGTTGTATATTGTGTATAAATAATCTTTTCTAATATCACGCAAGTTAAGAATTTTAAATTTTGTTATTTCCTTAAAAATAATGCAAATTTCCAAAGAAACAACAAAACTTTCTCAAAAATTTCTCACCTCTTGAAAATGTCATTGCAATTGATCGACTATATAAGTTTGTTCGGATTTTATCGAAAAATCGATATATATTTTTCAGTTTAAATTACATTGTTACC